TCATTTGTTTTTGGACCAACTCCCAGTGCTCCTCTACTGGCATCGAAATTCTAAGATCACCATCCAAAATCTGGATCAACTTTTATCTCTCCGAATTCATGCCCAGTATGAAGCAGAGAATTTTATCGAAGAGTTCGATGACTTCAGGAATAAAGATTCTGCGTACTGGGATGATTTGGTTATGGATGAATTGGAACAAAAATCGAGGGAAGAGGCTTTCGAAGCAAAGGCTGAAGAACTCTATTACGAAGTGAGAGCTTATCAGCTTATGCAATCAACTTTAGAAGAAATAGAAGAAATAATAAAGAAAAAACAGAAATTTATTGACCATTGCTGGACAAAATTTCATGACCTTGTTATTTATTCTATTCCTTATTTTTATGAGCTTGAATTTGTACCCAGATAGAGTTACTTAATGTAATCATCTTGGCTTTAATACAAACAAAGTCTTTCTGTACTTAACACTGTTTGACTCTGTTTCCTTTCATCTCTAAAAGCTAACTCATAACTTCGAATTGAACAATCTCATCCTTCGAATCAACTGTTTAATGGAGTACTAAAAGAACCAATCATGTCTTTTTCCAATTCATGGAGTAAAATTGACAATTCTGGCAGATATTATTTTAGTACTTCGATTTTAATGACTTTACTTTTTCAACACTAACTGTAACCAATATATGGTCATGGTTGATATAGCCCATCAATTTTAAACTGATCTCTTTTGGCTTCGAAGGGAAACCTATGGCAATTCCCTCTTGCTCATACAGAAACCAATGATTGGTCTTGGATGTTTCGAACAGTGCCCCTCTTCCTTAAAGAGTCCTAGGGTTTGCTTCGAATGTTGTCATTTTGACTGATAACCTTCAAACGGGTCTTTGGATTTTTGAAGTAGACCAATACTTTGAGCATTCAGGCATTTTTAAGCATGTAGTATGCTCTGAACAGCGCTTCTCATACTCAGAGAATACTAGGGTTTGCTTCGAAGGTCGTTACTTTGATTTGTAACTCCTAAACAGACCCATAATCAAGCAATTTAGCACCTTTAAGCATATACTAGGCTTCGAAGCTGACTTATGTATTTCGAAGCCGTTGTTATTTGATTTTTTGACGCCAAGATCTTGTTTTCGAAGCCAAATATTTCATTTCGAAGATGGCCCCAATCCCCGGAATAAGCTCTTCCCTCCAAAACTATCAATTTGGAAGAAATTCCTCGCATTCGTACTTTTAGTACTTAACGACTTACGGGGTATAATTTCGGACACAAAGGTTTTAAAACCCTCTCGTTTTGTGTTCTGAAATCTCTTGCCTTTTACAAACCCTTCTCTCTACTGGTTCCTCTTTGCTTTGGTCTTCATCTTCTGAAGAGTGTATCATCAATGGCTTCTTCTTCACAAAAGGTGCCAGCCCCAGAGCGCGTAGGCTCATCTTTAGCTTTGAAAAGGCTTATTGACGCAGAATGTGAGAAGTACAAGGCTGGAGAGAAAAGCGCCATCAATGGGCGTATCTTCGTCCCTCGTCATCATGAGCAGCAGAACTACGTGCTCGGACAAATTTTCAAGGAAGTCCTTACTGAGCTCCCAACCTTTTATCCGCGTCTGGTGGACCAATGTCTCCTTTATGAAAGTGGCCTTGACTGGAAGAACTGGAAAAGCAATCGTCCTCATCGATGCTGGCCCACGATAAGACCGGAATGGAAAGAATGGTATGATCGGATCATTCTTGCTAAGACACTGGATCTCCAGGAGCTCTGCCTCCTCGATGCCCTTCGACTATCTAGGGTAACTATCTCTGAGGACCCTTTCCTAGTTCCTACTGCTTTGTGCTTTTGGAACCCCGTCTTCAATTTCTTTCAATTCAGATGTGGGATGATGACCCCCACTGTTCTTGATATTTGCCATCTATTAGGAGTATCTCCCATTGGTACCCCCATAATACCAGATTTTCCTGACTTAGCAGTTCCTTTCTCCCTCCCCTCTCTCAATTCATCTTATAGTGATTTTGTTAGAGCCGAGAACAAAAGAGTAGGTCCAATAACTGATAGGGAATTCTTTTCCTTTTTATTATATTGGCTTTGCAAATTTCTTTTCTGTACCTCCTCCCAAAGAATCATGCCTGAATTTGCTCCTCTTGCCAAAGCCTTGGTTTTGCAGAAAAGAGTAGCCTTAGCCCCATACATTCTGGGTCATGTATATAGAGTTTGTTCCCTCTTTTGTGAGAAACCCTTAGATGCTAATCAAGGGGGACCATTTTGGATCCTTCAGCTTTGGCTCTTTGCCTATTTTACTGAACTACAATCCAAATGTCTTAAATTTTCTGGGCTACACTCTCTTACTCATGGCATAAAACTAGCCAATGCTTCACTTTATCCAGCTACTTTTGCCTTTTATTTCTCCTTCTTTCATCAACTACCAGCTGCTCTACCTGATCACCGTTTCCGTCCTTTCGAAGCTAGCATAGGTCCAGCCTGGTTGAACCACTTCCTCAGTGACAGGCTCTGTGCCTTGCCTATTCACAAAGATATGCGGGCTTCCCTACTGATCCCTAGAGAACTGTTTATTGGGACCACCAACCCCAGAGCCTATAAATGCATAGCTGAGCCTTATTGTCCTGCTCAATTTGCTAGACAATTTGGCCTCACACAAGGAGTTCCAATACCTCTCTGCAGCAACACCAACCTAACTCTGACCAAGAGAGATTTGAAGGTTCGAAAGTCAAGGCTAGAAGAGGCAACCTTCAAGTTTATGGATGATCTGGCCACTTTTGAGTACATCCCTTTCATTCCTCAAGGCACCTTTTTGAAGAGATATCAGAGTTGGTGGGTGAGTAATATGGAAGTTTATTTAGTTGAAGGTGATCAGAAACAAAAGAAGCAGAGACTGCTTGAGCCTGAGAAGAAAACAATTGAGGTGCAAGAAAAAGGAAAAGAAGATGCAAAAGATCAAGAGCATGAGTCACCCTTGATGAGGAGGAAACGGATGATTGATTTGTCCCAAGAAGAGACAACCATTAAGGAAGTAGAGGAGGAGGTTATTTTTAAGGAATCCGAACCTCAGGCTGAAGGAGCTGAGAAAACAATTGAGGAGCAGACAATGCCAATTCAAAGAAAAAAGAGAAGAAAGATTACTGTCTCTTCTTCTGAGTTTGATATCTCCCCTTCCAACTTTGATGAGGATTCTGATTCTGAGACAATTGCCCAAGCAATAGGAAAGAGAAGGAAAATGACTGCTTCAACTACTGCCTTGATTGAAGATCCCCTTCATAAGGCAGCCACCAAGGCCGTGGAACGAGAACATTCCAAAGCCATAGTCGTCTTTGAAAGGGCTGAGAAAAGACGGCAGCAACAAATTTTAAGAGAGAGAGCTGCTGCTGCTGATGCATTGCAAAGGGAACTAGCCAGAAAATAACGGACTGCTGGACACTATTCTCTCCGCAGTTCTCCCATCAGTACCAGTGCCTCTGGAACAAGTAATTTCTTTCATACCTCTACTGTTTTTTACTTTGTCAGCTTTTGGTATTGAAGTTTAACATTGTTCTGTATTTCTTCCTTTTGCAGCGACAACTACTGCACTCACATTTCCAATGAGGCCTTCCTCAATTTCGGTTGAGGTTGATCAAATGCAGAATGTCAGGGTTGTTCGAATCGTACTTCCACTTCCAAAACCTATATTTGACGTACCTTCCTTAAGTCCCAGTATTCCTGCATCTCTTCTTATTGGATTAAAGCCATACCTCCCCCAAGACCGAATAGCAGCGACAGAGATCAAAGCACAGACAATAGTCATCTTGGCAATAGGAGCAAATGTCTCCTCATAATCAATACCATACTCCTAAAGAAAACCTTTGCCAACCAGACGAGCTTTGTAGCGCTCAAGAGAACCATCAGAATAAGCCTTAACTTTGTAGACCCATTTGCAACCAACCAGGTTCTTACTAACAGGCAAAGGAACCAACTCCCAAGTACTAGTTTTCTGTAGAGCAGACAACTCATCCTCCATAGATTGAACCCAATGAGGATCCTGACAGGCCTCCTTGTAAGAGTGAGGTTCTGAAAAAGAGTGAATAGCAGACAAAAAAGTACGATTTTTGAAGGAATCCAAATATGTCAATTTGACATACCTTCTACCTCTCCCACCTCTACTGCTGAAGCTGAGCCATTAGCCTTGGCTAACTCCCTTTTGGAAATTTTCGAGAGTTCTCCTTCCTCCAGCAACAAGCCTTTTGTACCTTCAGTGGATTTGGACACATGCTTGCAACTGTTGACTTCCTTTTCAAGGATCCCCTTCGAGGCTCTACAAAGGCCTATCATCAGGAATGGGTTCCTTCAATGCTGTAACATTGCTGAGCAGTCTGCCATGAGTGTCTCAAGTCATCTATCTCAGGCTGCAGCTACTATTGATTTTTATCTCAACATTTGCCATGCTGCTAAGACTGCGGATGAGAAGCTGGCTAAGGACCAGAGTTTTGTTTCTCAAGTGCATACTGAAGCATCAACTCTGAAAGAACAACACTCTTTTGCCTCCCACTTTCGAGTCCAACTTCTGGAGAAGAAAGCTCAGCTTGAAGAGGAGTTAGCCGCAGTAAACCAAGCCTTGGTTCGAACTAATAAGAAACTGCACATCACCAATCAAGGGCTGGCTGATCGAAAAGAAGACATGGCTATGGCTATTCAATTATTTCCTTCCCTTAGCAATAGGAAAGCTATTGTACAAAAACAATTAAAGCATTGTAATGATTTTTGGGCCAATTTGTGGCACAATGTACTTAATTCTTTATGAAAGCACAATATTTTGAATATCATTTGAACAAGCTTGTGTTTTTGCATATGGTGTTCACTCTATCCCTTGTGTTTCCCAAATGGTTGAAAAATAAGGTTTTAAATACCTGCCATTAATCTTTTTGGGATGTACATAACCATTCAAATTTCTTAAATGGTATGCTCCAAAAGGCAGAACCCTATGAATTTGATATGGTCCATTTGATATGGTCCTTCCCAGTTACTTCTGCTGCTTCAATTCCTCCCAGAGTCACTCGAAGTATGTACCCCTTTCTCCTTTTCTCTAACCTCTTCATATAATGCTTGCTATCTTATCTCTAATCCTTCTTTTATGAAGGTGGTCAACAACAAAAGAAGAAGAGACTCTTTGAGCTAGAAAGGGAAAAAACTGAACTTCCAGAGATGGAGGAAGAAGAAAATGATCAAGAACAGGAGTCTCCCTTGAAAAGAAACAAAAGAGACCCTCAATTGGCTCAAGAGGGGATAGCCGCTAGGGAAGAAGAGGAGAAGCTCACTTTTGAAGAGTCTGGACCCCAACCTAAAAAGGTCGAGAAGACAATGGAGGAGCGAATGATACCAATTCAAAGGAAAAGGAGAAGAAAAATTACCGTTTCTCCTTCCGATTTTACCGAAGATTCTGATTCCGAGACAATTGCTCAAGTAATAGAAAAGAGGAGGAAGATCACTGTTCTAGCTACCAGCTCGTTTGAAGATCCCATCCATGAGGTTGTAGAACAAGAATATCCCAAAGCCATAGTTGTTCTTGAAAGAGCTGAGGAGAGGCAGCAGCAACAATTCCTTGGGACAAGTAAGTTTCTGCATGCCTTTATTCTTTTCTTGTCGACTTTTCAAGACTAAGACTTGACATTACCTCACATTTTCTTCTTTTTACAGCAACGACCACTGCATTAATCTTCCCAACGGAAACTTCCCCAATTTCAGTCGAAGTTGATCAGATGCAACGCGTGAAAACCATTCAAATCACGCTCCCACTTCCTAAGCCTATATTCGATACGTCTTTACCGAGGCCGAGTATCCCTGCATCTCTTTTCCTTGGCTTAGAGCCATACCTCCCTTTCTTGACTCTTGATCTGCCTCAGTTTGTTTCTTCGATCCTCGCTCTTCCTCTTACTGCTACTTCATCTCGCATGGCAGTTGATTCTCCTTCAGGGGATGCCGATAATTTTCCAATTCATGACTCATCACCAATGCCTACTTCCAGCCCTTCCTCACTTGATTTGCTGGTGGCTAAGACCATAGAGGCTGCCAAAGATGCTCCATTTGTTTCTCCCATCCCTATGCAGCCCTTTGTGTCTTCCACCACAACACTCTCTATGCCCTTTATGTCAAGGGATGAGGTAGACATTTTTGAAGGAAGACTAGCTAGTCTCTTTGACATACCTTCTACCTCTCCCACCTCTACTGCTGAAGCTGAGCCATTAGCCTTGGCTGACTCCCTACTGGAAATCTTCAAGAGTTCTCCTTCCTCCAGCAACAAGCCTTTTGCACCTTCAGTAGATTTGGACACGTGTTTGCAACTGTTGACTTCTTTTTCAAGGATCCCCTTCGAGGCTTTACAAAGGCCTATCATCAGGAATGGGTTCCTTCAATGCTGTAACATTGCTGAGCAGTCTGCCATGAGTGTCTCAAGTCATCTATCTCAGGCTGCAGCTACTATTGATTTTTATCTTAACATTTGCCATGCTGCTAAGGCTGCGGATGATAAGCTGGCTAAGGACCAGAGTTTTGTTTCTCAAGTGCATACCGAAGTATCATCTCTGAAAGAACAACACTCTTCTGCCTCCCAGTTTCGAGTCCAACTTCTGGAGAAGAAAGCTCAGCTCGAAGAGGAGTTAGCCGCAGTAAACCAAGCCTTGGTTCGAACTGATAAGAAACTGCACATCACCAATCAAGGGCTAGCTAATCGAAAAGAAGACATGGCTGCGGCTATTCAATTATTTCCTTCCCTTAGCAATAGGAAAGCTATTGTACAAAAACAACTAAAGCATTGTAATGATTTTTGGGCCAATTTGTGGCACAATGTACTTGATTCTTCATGAAAGCACAATATTTTGAATATCATTTGAACAAGCTTGTGTTTTTGCATATGGTGTTCACTCTATCCCTTGTGTTTCGAAGAAGGGTGAGTATCTTCAAGTTCTTCTTATCCCCTTTTATTTCTGAATCTTTTGTTGGTTTTCTTATACTCATGCTTTTGGTGTAGGGTCTCCACAAGAAGAGTCTCCCAAGAGAGCCGAGACTTTAGCTATTCTCAAGAAGAAACAACAACAAAAAACAAAAAGGAGACTAGTCCTTCCTCCTGAAGTACCTGAATCTCTTTACTTTGATTCCTAAACAGACCCATAATCAAGCAATTTAGCACCTTTAAGCAGATACTAGGCTT